GCGACCCCCCCCCCGCCACGAGGGATGGGGCGGCAAGAGAACTCTGCCACGGCCCGGGGGCGGCGATGGCCTCTTGCCATGCCAGGTGGTGAATGTAGAACCCGAGCGTCAGTTTCTTGACACTTCGGGGTGGCTTTTTTTATGGGTGCAGGAAGGGCTGGGGCCGTGTTATCTGGCCTGCTGATAGAGCCGGGGGAGATCTGCCTCTCGCTCGCCACCAGGTGCGAAGCTGAACAATTGAGGTGCCCGGTTCCGAAGGGCACAGGAACAGCCCAAGAGCTGGCGCAACAGATTAAACAAACACTCCAAGGCCGGGGACTCAGGAAACTCTGGGGTCGTGGATCCCATGAAAGGCAATTAAAGTGGCAAAGTCTCCGACGTGCGTCAGAGCTGGGGATGCGGCCAACAGGGTGCGAGAGGCGCCCGGCGCTGGTGGCTCATCTTGGTCACTTTCTACCTTGAGGAACAGAAACGGCCGGGGTGGGGGTGGGGATGGGGGTCGGGTTTAACACTTTTGCCCTGCGATTGGGCAGAGCGGGGGAAGGTTGTGGGCTCGGCTGTCGCCCCGTCCTCACGTCCTACACATCCCAGGCCTGAACCGAAAGCCTCCAGCCCAGTGAGGAGCAGCCGTGTCCTGTAAGGGTCTCGGGCACAGGCCTGGTTTTCGGAGGCAGGGGAGCAATGCAGTAACCCAGCCCTGCGGGACTGTGCCCCCGGAGGAGAGGGGCGGCCGGGTGTTAGCCCACCGGGACGGGAGGGGCCCGTTTGCTCCCCCGCAGACGTGCGGTTTTACACCCGGCATCCCCAGCCCCGGTTGGGGTCCCAAGAAGCCAGGCCCAGCCCGGTTCTTCTCTGTGGGGCCTCCCCCAAACATTTCCACCGGCGGGCAGGTCCGGGGAGAGAGGCGGGGGGCAGACGTCACGTCTCTCTGCTCTTCTGAGCAGGTGGCAGCAGCAGTCCTGCTGGTCAATATACCCAACAGCCAAACCGCCAGCAGCAAGGGGACTGTGCCTCAGCGAGGCAGGCCAGAGAGCCCCGGCGGCCGCTGAGAACACCAAATCCCTCCCCCCTCGTACTGTCTGCTTCCCCCCCCGAGCCAAAATTCACCGTTGGCTTGACTGGGCACAATTCGATCGACTTTACGGGATGGTGGCTACGCTGCGGCCCGGAGCTCTGGGCAGGTGCAAGGTGGCATGGCTCGCAGCTAGTGCTGCCAGGGAAACTGAGGCTGGGCCGGCACACCCTCTGCTACCTGCAGCATTTGGACATTCGGCCCCGGAGATGCCGCATCCGAGCCAAGATCTGGGCATCGGCCAAGCCAGTGACGTCCTGCCCCGGGATTTGAGCACCAGTTGCCAACGTGCCAGTTAGTCAAGGAGGCAGAAAATTCCCCCCTCCACCCGGCAGAGTGGCCGCTTCCAGCATCTGCGTTCTCGGAAGCAGGGTGACTCCACAGCAACTCGAAGTGTCTAGCACAGCCACCGGGAAGGGAGGAGCCGAGGTAAACGCCACTGACAAAATGGGTCTAGCCAGTTGGCACAGGGAAGGACCTGGAAGTCGGCGAGCTGTTCAGCATCTCTGGGCCCTCCCTACGTGCCAGCCGCCAGAAAGCCCTGCGGTGGCGTCTTCCTGGAAGTCCCGCCTCCGTGGAGGCGGGACTTCCTGGAACAGGCCACGAGAGAACGCCACGGGTGACCTGTTTGGAGTGCGTGGGGCCCAGCCACAAAGACCTTCGTGATGGCCCTCCCCTTGGGCCCCTCCCCTTGGGCTCCTGGCACCCCTCCCCTCGGGCCCCTGGTGTCCCTCAGACGTGGTCATAGACCTGCAGCCTCTTCCCGCAGTGCAGGTCCGGCTCGTGGATGGCGTGCCACATGAGCAGCGTCTCGTAAGGCACGAAGCGGTGCACCAGCAGCAGCTCGTTGTAGTAGCAGGGGTCAAAGGACTCCAGCTTGGCAGAGGGCACCCTGACGCCCACGGTCCGGATCCGGCCGGCTTGCTCCAGGCACATGCCCAGGTAGACGTCGTCGATGGGCAGGAGCTCGATGGCCTGCGACTCCCGGTGGATGACGCGGGCGGTGAAGCCGGACATGAGGATCCCGCCCCCACCGCAGTAGGGCGGGTAGGCGTCGGAGGCGGCGACCTGCTTGGGGACGTAGTACTTGCTCCACTTCTCCCGGACGGGCCCCACGTGGGCGATGAGCTGGCCCACGAAGAGGTGGGCGCTTGCGGGCCTCCCGCCGGTCCCCCGCCTCGCCGACCAGGAAGAGCCGGCGGACGCGGAGCCCGTGGTAGTCCCGCTCCTCCCCCCAGGTCTTGCGGATGACCTCTCGCCGCTCGTAGTTAATGGGCGAGGACTTGATGGCCAGGAGGAGGAAGACCTCGGGGGAGCCATCGGGCCCCCCGCACTTGTCGGACACATCCAGCAGCTGGGGGAAGGCCCGGCAATGCTTGTAGCGCAGGAAGTCCTGGATGTGGCCAGGTAGTCCCGCTCCTCCCCCCAGGTCTTGCGGATGACCTCTCGCCGCTCGTAGTTAATGGGCGAGGACTTGATGGCCAGGAGGAGGAAGACCTCGGGGGAGCCATCGGGCCCCCCGCACTTGTCGGACACATCCAGCAGCTGGGGGAAGGCCCGGCAATGCTTGTAGCGCAGGAAGTCCTGGATGTGGCCAGGCAGGTCGGCGAAGCCGGAGATGTTGGCCACCGAGGCGTTCTCGTGGCAGGGGGGGA